CCCTTGGTGCCCTTGAAACAGAATCTGACTCCTCCAGGGCTACCAGCCCCACACGCCAGCCTCCTCCTGGCACAGTGAGACACAGGAACACTGGCCTGCAGGTTCCTCTGTCACTCCAAGCTCATTCCCATGGTGGGCCTCTGCACCGGCTGCCCTTCTGCCTGGAAGGCTCACTCCCTCATCCTGTTATGGTTGCTTCCTTTTTACCCTTCGGGCCTTGAGGTATGGGATCTCACCTCAGAGAGGCCTCCCCTGAATGCCCATGCTAAAGCTGACATCCAGTCCTTCTCCATCATGCCATCCTGTTTAGTCTCATACCAACACTTACCTTTTTTTCTCCTCCAGTGCTGGGGATGGAACCCAGGTCCCCATGCATGTTAGGCAAGGGCCCAACCACTGAGCTACACCCCCTCCCCATTTAGTCTCTGCATTGCTTTTATTCCTGTCTCATCGTTCCTTGTTCACTACCTTCACACATTCAACCAACACCTATTGATCACTTCTTGTGCCAGCTGGACTAGACATGTGTTTATTCTCCCTGAATTATGTAAAAGCCCATGAGGGTAAGGCCTTGGCCATAGGCTCAGGGCCTGGCATGGAGGCAGCATTTGATAAATATTTAATTTGCAGAATGAAAAACAGTCAATAGGTGATGTGTACTCAGGAAATCAGAACTTGCTTAGACTTCATGGCTTTGAGGCAGCCAATATTCCAAAGCAGCTCCAGTGCTTGGATATACCATTCCCTGCCTGCATTTTTCCAGGCTAGCTATGACTCCCTTCCTGTTTGTATATCCGTCATGCATTTATTAGGTCCTACTGCTTACAGATCTATGCTCAGTGTCAGTCTCTGTCCTGTCTAGCTCGCCCAGCTGTTGGCACTCAGAGGCCAGCCATGGACAGGCCAATAGGCTGCCTTTTCTTAGATGATGACCAACTGACTCCTCACTAGAGGCCATTCAAGAAGCAGCAAAGTGCCAGGCCACCTCTCACACCTGTAACCACCTTCCATCCAGGTCCCCCAGATGCTTAGGATTTCAATGCAACTCCCAGGGACAGCACTCAGAAAGCTCAAGGTGCCAGGCTCTTTTCTCCAGTGCTACTTCCCAAGCAGTGTGTGGGACTGCTTATCCCTACCAGTGCCCAACCTGACTGCCTTACACTTCCCACCATCACAAGCCACTCCCACAGGGGACATGCAGGCTGTGGGGTCTAGCAGGGCTATATCCCATAGAGTTGGCATTCATTAGCTCTGGGATCTTCAACAGATCACTCCATCTCTGGGAACTCGTTTTCCTCCTTGGTAAAATGAGGACTATAAAAGCACTGGCCTTTTGGGTTGTTATAGCTCGTCCCTCCAGAGCTTCCTGCTCCTCCCTGATCTGCAGGCCCCTGAGGTCTTACCAGTCCCAGTTCAAGGGACAAGGTAAGAAAGGAAACAGCTCTTTGGAGGGGGTGAGGGGACATATAGTTAAAACAACACATGTAGGCAGAAAAAAGAAAAAATCAGAGATCATCACAAGAGAAAAATCAGACATCATCACAGAAGACTGCAGTCAAGGGAGGAGGCAGGCTTTAGACAGAACCATGGAGCAGACAGACACATGCTCCACCTGGATGCTGTCACATGCCAGTACACCAGAGTACAGACCAGGGAGCTGTCCACTTCACTGGGCTGGGGACAATTTGAATGAGAGGGGTAAGATGAGTTTGGTCTCTTGTTTCCCAAATGTTCTGTGTCAAATGCTATCCTTGGATTAACAGGACAGGTGGATGGAAGAGGGGAGTCAACCTAAAAAAAGGCTACAGTGAACGACATAAAAACCCTCAGGCTGTAATATATACAGTCTGCCTTGCCTCTCCCCTCTCCCTGACCCCAGACTTTCCAGTTACCACTCTTATTTCCTAGAATGCTGCATCCTCCCACCTTCTGCCCTGGTTAAGCGGCCTCTGTAACTAGGGAAGCAGCCCAGCTCCCTGTCCTTGGGAAACAATGGGAAGATTTCTCAGAAAAAGTCAGGATGTGTTGTCCTGACTTCCCTGTTCCTTGGTGAAGGTAACCTCAGATCCCAGGCATCTCCCTGGTTCTGCCAGCTAAATCCAGAGGTGACAGAATCAACAGTCAATCCCAGGGGAGTAAACAGCAACAGAAGCCATAGCTTGGATAAACCAAGGAGTAACTTGATAAACCAAGAAAGCACTAGATAAGGAAGGCTTCAAGGTCTGCCTGCAGCTCTCCAGCTGCATGTCCCCCCTGACCCCACTAGCCCTCCTCTGACTTCCCTTTCTGCTGCAATGCAGTAGCCAGATACCAGCAAGCAGCAGCCACAGCAAAGACAGAAGCCTGATGGCCCGGGGAGTGCTGACAGTCCACTCATCTCCAAAGTTCCTAATACAGGATTTCTGACAGAGGAGAAAATTTTTTAAATTAAAAATTTAAAGGGCTGGGATCGTGGCTCGGCGGTAGAGCACTCACCTAGCATGTGTGAAGCCCTGGGTTCGATCCTCAGCATCATATAAAAATAAATAAATAAAATAAAGATATTGTGTCCAACTACAGCTAAAAAATAAATATTTTTTAAAACATTTTTAAAAGTTCCTACTCTTAGGGGCTGAGGCTATGGCACTTGCCGGCACGTGTGAGGCACTGGGTTCGATTCTCAGTACCACATATAAGTAAATAAAATAAAGGTC